CCCCCAGCCGTGCCAAGTCCCACATCTGCACCCCAGGGCCACCACAGTGTCCCCTGGCTATGCCCGGCTCCATCTTTCTCTCCTAGGGCCACCACACTATCTCCTACCGTGCTCAGCTCCATGTTGCCCCTGGGGCCACCACAGCAACCTCCAACCATGCCCGGCCCCGGGATCACCATGGTGTTCCCCGACCATGCCCGGCCCCAGGACCACCATGGTCTCCCCCGACCATGACCAGCCTCAGGACCACCACAGTGACATTCAGCTATGGCTCATCCCCAGGGCCACCATGGTGTCCCACGGCGGCCTTGCCTTGTAGAGGACAGCTGCCCTCGCGTTTCTCTGATCAGCCACGACGTCCTCCTCAGGGCTGCCCTCCTGCAAGGTGGGCTTGGGGCCCAGCACCTACCGGGGGAAGAGACAGGGGGTGTCACAGAGCCACCCCCGGGTCCCCCTCTCCTCCCAGTGGGGACATCGGGGTCCTGGTGCACCTCGAGCATCTCAGGTGGCTCCTCGCCGTCCGGCACGATCTCCAAGCGAGCTTTGCCGCCCCGCTCGCCATCACGGATGGACGCGGCCAGCTCCTGCGCCCGGCTGCGCTCCAGCACGTTGCACTTGGCCCCGCACCAGACGAAGAGGGTCTGGGGATGGGGAGTGGGACAATGGTGACAGAGCCACCCCATGGTGGCCTCTCAACCCACCTCGCCCAGGGTGAGGATGAAGCAGTTGCTGAGGGTGAAGCTGGTACAGGGAGATGCCCCAAGGGACAAATGGACATCACGACAGACGGACACCCAGATGGACAGACAAATGCAGCTATGGACAAAAGCTCAACTGATGGATGGGCACCCCAACTGATAGATGGCCACCTCAAGAGACAGACATCTCCAAGGATGGACAGACATCTCCCAGGTCCACTGGGACAGATGCCCCAGTGGACAGATGGCCACCTGGAAGGACAGACAAACAACCCAACAGGCTGATATGGAGGAGGACAGACAGACATCCCAGCAGATAGACACCCAGAAAACCAGGCAGACACTCCCATGAACAGCTGGACACTTGGGCAGACAGACAGACACCGATGCCCCAACAGGTGGACACCCAGAAGGACAAACAGCCAATTCTAGGGATGGACAGACGCCCCAACGAAGAGAGACATCCCAATGAAGAGGGACATCCTAACGAAGAGGGCTGCCCCAACGAAGAGGGACGCCCCAATGAGCTGATGGACACCCAGAAGGACATGTTGCCCCCCCCACACCAGGTGAGAAGAGTCTGGGGGTCGGGGAGAGGGACAGCGGTGACAGGGCCACGTGGCCGCCCCACCCACCTCGCCCAGGTCCAGGATGAAGCAGTCGCCGGTGTTGAAGCTGGCCCAGCTCAGGTCCCGCTCGCTCGCCCGGATGTTCTTCTTGCCCTTCACCTGGTAGAGTTTGCGCACGGGGCCAGCGCCAGCGCCGGGGCGGGTGGGCTTGAACGCCGAGTCCACGCCGCCCTCCTGCCAGCACAGGGGTGCTGAGAGCCCATGGGGGTGCTCAGCACCCAACGGGGGGGCTGAGTGCTTGGTGGGTACCCAGCAGCCAACGGGGATGACAAGCACCCAGCACGGATGTTGAGCATCCAGAGGGGATGCTCAGCACCCAGCAGGGAGGCTGAGCACCCAGTGGGGATGTCGAGAGCTGGGTGGGGATGCTGAGCACCCATCCAGGATGCTGAGCACCCAACAGAGAGGCTGAGCACCCAGCAAGGATGCTGAGCACCCAGAGGGGATGCTGAGAACCCACCAGGGAGGCTGAGCACCCAGAGGGTATCCCACATGTCCAGCGGGGAACAAGCAGGGTGGTGGGGATGCTGAGCACCCAGCATGGATGCTGATAGCTGGGTGAGGATGCTGAGCACCCATCCTGGATGCTGAACACCTATCTGAGATGCTGAGCACCCAGAGGGCATGCTGAGCACCCAGCAGGGATGCCAAGAGCTGGGCGAGGATGCTGAGCACCCATCTGAGATGCTGAGCACCCAGAGGGCATGCTGAGCACCCAGTGGGGATGCCAAGAGCTAGGCAAGGATGCTTAGCACCCATCCTGGATGCTGAGCACCCAGAGGGCATGCTGAGCGCTCAGTGGGGACGCTGAGCGCCGGGAGCTCCCGTCGGGACCCCCCGTACCTGGTAGGTGACGCCGCGGGGGAAGTACTCCATGAAGATGTCGGACTCGTTGCCCTGCACCTCGCGGTGGGTGACGGGGCGCTCGCCCAGCACCGCGTTCAGCTGGGTGGAGAGGAGGGCGCAGGCGCCCCGCTCGTCCTGCGACGAACCCCGGCCTG